TTCACTCTACAATCCTTTTGAGGGGTTTGAAGATTATCCAGTAAATGGTTTATCGCCTGATATTATTCATCCTGATGTTGTACCTCAACCTCCAGTTGAATATCAGCCATTTGGTATGCCTTTAGCTCATACGATTAATTTGGTTACTTGTTATTCAGAAGACGAGGAAGGTTTACGTACCACAATGGACTCAGTCGCAACTACCGACTTCCCGAATTCTCACAAAATGATTTTTGTGGTTTGTGATGGTATAATTAAGGGTTCCGGTAATGATTTAACAACTCCTGAAATAGCCTTAGGTATGATGACAGATTTCACTATTCCACCGGAAGATGTTAAGCCATATTCATATGTGGCTGTTGCTCAAGGTAGTAAACGTCATAACATGGCAAAAGTTTACGCTGGATTCTACAAATATAATGATGAGACTGTTCCACCTGAAAAGCAACAAAGAGTTCCAGTTTTAACTGTAGTCAAATGTGGTACTGTTGATGAAGCTGATGCACCTAAACCAGGTAACAGAGGTAAGCGTGATTCTCAAATTATTTTAATGTCATTTTTGCAAAAAGTTATGTTTGATGAAAGAATGACAGATTTGGAATATGAAATGCTCAACAGTATTTGGAGAGTTACAGGATTAATGGCTGAGTTTTATGAAATCGTTCTAATGGTTGATGCAGATACTAAAGTATATCCAGACAGTTTAACGCATATGGTAGCGGAAATGGTTAAGGACCCAATGATTATGGGATTGTGCGGTGAGACTAAGATTTCCAATAAGTCGAAAACTTGGGTTACTGCTATTCAAGTTTTTGAATATTATATTTCTCATCACCAAGCCAAAGCGTTCGAATCTGTTTTTGGTGGTGTCACATGTTTACCAGGTTGTTTCTCTATGTATCGTATCAAAGCTCCGAAGGGATCAGATGGATATTGGGTTCCAATTTTAGCGAATCCTGATATTGTTGAAAGATATTCTGATAACGTTGTGGACACATTACACAGAAAGAATTTATTATTATTGGGTGAAGATCGTTACCTTTCCTCATTGATGTTGAGAACTTTCCCTAAAAGAAAACAAGTTTTTGTACCGAAGGCGGCTTGTAAGACGGTCGTTCCTGAACAATTTAAAGTTTTGTTATCTCAACGTCGTCGTTGGATTAACTCCACGGTGCATAACTTGATGGAATTAGTTTTGGTTAATGATTTGTGTGGTACTTTCTGTTTTTCGATGCAGTTCGTTATTTTTATTGAATTGGTGGGTACATTGGTCTTACCAGCTGCCATTTGTTTTACAATTTATGTTATAATCATTGCTATTGTTTCGACACCAACTCCGATCATGTCGTTAGTTCTTTTGGCTGTCATATTCGGTTTACCTAGTTTGTTAATTGTTGTCACAGTCTCTTCATGGACCTATGTCATTTATTTTTTCATTTATCTCATTGCTTTACCAATTTGGAATTTTGTTTTGCCAAGTTATGCCTACTGGAAATTTGATGATTTCAGTTGGGGTGAAACTAGAACTGTTGCTGGGGGTGATAAAGGTGATCATAGCGCAGAGGAGGGTAAGTTCGATTCATCGCATATTGTTATGAAGCGTTGGAGAGAATTTGAAAGGGACCGTAGAAACCAGGAATCTGGCCCTGCTGTTCCAGGTGCAACATGGGATCCATCAAATACCGAAAAGTTTAATGATGAGGACTATTCTGAAGAATCCACTGCCTCTCCATGATATGTAATATTCATTTACGTATATGATTTTTGCATGAAAGCTCTATTTTTGCCTAAAATAGTATACAATACTATATTTTTAAATTAATCAATGCATATTTTTTAAAAATTGATAGTAATGATGATCATTATTTTGAAAAGTAGAAAATAAACTAATATAAGAGCTTTCTTCCCAAACTGATGTTTGGTATATTTATTCTACTTGGATATATTTTAAAATTTAACGTTTATTGATATATAATATATAAGAACTAAATTAGTTATTAGGTTATGACTCGAAACCAAAAATTGTAACATGTAGAAGTAAAAAGGTTTAGTAGATTGTATGACAGGTATCTGGGGTATTGCTAGATAAATTAATATGCTCTTCTAACTTGTTGTAAAGTAGTAGCAGTAGTAGCAGCCGTAGTAATTTGGGTGTTAATAGCTGTGGTTGCAATAGTGGTACCTGTGAGAGCAGTATCGGAGGTATCAGCATTGTCAATATCAGAAGCAGTAACATTACCACTGTCCATTTGTTCACCAAGGAAAGAAGCAAGAGCTCCACTGTATTGACCACCATTCTTTTCCAAGTATTCAAGAGCTTCATTAAGAAGGCCTGAGGACTTGGCCCAGCCAATAAGGTCTTCAGCAAGAACGAAACCCTTCTTTAAAAGACTGGTCAAAAAGGTAATAGACTTTTCTGGGTCTTCCATAACCTTTTGAATTAAAGAAGAAACTAAACCGGAGTCCTTAACTTGCTTGGCAACAGTGGTAACTATGGAAGCAACATCTCTCTTGTCTAAGAATTCGCCATCAATGAAGTCACGCTTAGCACCTGAGTTGTATTGGGATGGGGAAGGAATGCCACTGACATCAACATCGCTTCCGCTATCAGAAGAACCAGTAGCAGCAGAGTTATCAGTGGTTACAGCAATGGCTGCAGCAGTGTTAGTTTCGACACCAACAACAGCAGCAGTAGTAGCGGTGGCACTAGATCCGGATTTACCAGATTTGTATGCCTTTAATAAGTTAAGGGCAGATGAGAAAAGGGACTTAGCAAGCTTAAGTAAAACAGAACGTAAGTTACTGTCATTAAGAATATCATGGAAAAGCTTAGAGATTAAACCAGAATCCCAGATAGCTTTAAGTAAAGCTGGACCTTGGACAAGAGCAGCCTTGACAGTAGTCTTAACAATATTAAGAATTTCAGATCTGAGAGCTTCGTCTTGGGTTAAAGTATCCCAAACATCGGCAATAACACCAGAAGAAGCTAAAGCAGCAACTAATTCGGTAACCAAGTTATCAGCCCTCTTAGAAAGTTCGAACGATTCACTTTCGGAGACAAGGTCTCTCTTTTCGTTGACTTGTTTAAGTTCAGACAAAAGCTCTAAAATTTCATTGGCATCACCTCTGGTAACGAGTGAGTTTTCAGCAACAACTGCAGCTGGAGCGGCAGAAACGAACGCAGAAGAAGCTAAGATAGCAAAGAGGGTAGTTTGGGATAATTTCATTGTGACTTGGCAGCGATAGTTATTAGTTATTAATCAACTAGACTCTTATATTTGATGATAAACTTTTTAGAACAACTTCAGAAGGGGATATTTACACTCATATTTATAATTCCAAAATTTCCTTTTATCTATTTCATTGACTGTTATAGGAAACTAAGAATTTCATTGTTCTCCACTCCCAATTTTCTTTCAAAACATAGGAACTATAGTAAATTATCACATATTGATTGCCAATTCGTAGTTAATACTGATTCTTCAATTACAAATTGCCTAATTAGGTAAAGTGATTAAGTGAGCCAAATTTGCATCATAACCGGATTAGGAAATTTTTAATAATGCGTATATTTAATATTCGTCGCATAACACCAGTTTCACCTTTCATACCCCTTTGGGTAAGTTTTCTATTACGCAAAGGAGCTATGGTTCCACAGGCACCACCAGAGTTTTATATACAAGAAAATTCCCTAAAACGGACAGATATTTGAACCAATGCAGGTTTTCATGGCGAAATGCTCCTCTATCGCAGCACAAATGGATGGTTCTACCAACATATTCTTGCCTCTTAGGGTAAATAATATTCACAATTCAAGATGGAAAATGCTTGAAATCACAAGACTTTTGCAACACACCAAGATGATTCCAGATGGATCCACAGGCTCGTAGACGAAGATAAGTTCTAATCTTAGCACCAGAGGGTTTATAGATTACATAAGAATATGATTATTCAAAAATGTCAGTTATCAACTAGTTTGTATATGTAGAATTATCGTCTGCGAAAAAACACACTCCACGAAATACGCAACAGAATAAGAAATCAGCGCTTGTATCGTAACTAGAAATCGCTTCAATACTATATCACAGGACGTTAGTGCTACACACTCGATGATTTAACTAAAGGCGATGTACTACTAGAATAAAATGGCGTGGGTGGGCTTTTGGTCCCTATTACGTTGTATAACATGACCAATGCTCATTCGAAAGCTTTTGGATGCTGTCAAAGCCTATCCTAAGTTTTGCATTCCAATTCTACTTTTGGGGAAAGTAACAGGATTTTCTAAATATTGCGAAAAAATATTGAAAGTCTATTGTTAGTAGTTAGGCTTCGAAATTCATGTCAATATTCAGAGCTTACCATGGGGACATTTCTTTCGCCCACGCTAACAGGAAAAGCTTGTGTAAGTTTCATTCCACCGTAAGAACTATTTTATGCCTTCTACAATCATATATGAATGTATGGTAACAACACGCCATTAAAAGATACTCCAATTCAATCAAAGTTTACTACGACAGTTCCTTAACATATACCATATATCCTCTGTCCCATATCCCAATGCTCCTATCATGCTTGGCGATATAGTGGATACGATTAATCGAATTTGATATACTGTGTCTTGAAAAATTGTTCCAAGAGAAATGCGGCTGAGTATAATCTGATCGTATTCACATGCCATCACGCCAATTAGAACACGCCTATAGTGATTTACGCTATATTGATTTCACTAGCATCAGGACCTAGCACTGCTGATAACATTCAAGTGTAACTGTCTCTGTTAGAAACATGATTCAGTTACTAAATTGAATTATACGCCGTAGAAACTAGTAGTATTTGGAATATGTGGGCAGAGATCGATGTCGTAGATAAAATAAAAAAAAGAAAAAAAAAATTCTCTAATTTTTCATAACGGCCCCAATTGGTCTGGTATAAAAACATAATTATTCCTACTTAAATTTTTGTTTTTCTTCCCCATCAACAACCGATATTTGTAAATAAACATGTCAGTCGTTGACTTTTCCAGTACCTCAAGTGGTTCGGCTATCAATTCGTCGGAAATTTCCCAGAGAGGAAATGGATCTACGATAGTCGAAACCAAGAAAGGGCCATCTTCGAATTTGAAGGCTATTGACACGTTTGGTAACGAGTTCAAGGTACCAGATTACACCATTAAGCAAATTTTGTCGGCTATCCCAAAACATTGTTATGAAAGATCGCTTGTTAGATCGTTAGGTTACGTTGCTCGTGATATAACCATGATGTGCTTAATTGGTTACGTTGGACAAAAGACTATCCCAATGGTTGAGATCGCAGGCCAGGAAGGGTTGAGTTCTACAATTAGAGGAGGCCTCTGGTGCGTGTATTCGTACTTGTTGGGGTTATTTGGGTTTGGTTTATGGATTTTAGCTCACGAATGTGGACACGGGGCATTTTCTGATTACCAGAATGTTAATGATGTTGTTGGATGGATTTTACACTCTTACTTGATAGTCCCATATTTTTCCTGGAAATTCTCTCATTCAAAGCATCACAAGGCTACTGGTCATTTGACTAAGGATATGGTTTTCATTCCTTACACCAAGGACGAATTTGTCGAAAAGAGCGGCGTATCTAAGGTGTCTGAAGTCATGGAAGATTCGCCAATCTGGTCGTTGATGGTTTTGATTTTCCAACAGATTGGTGGCTTACAATTGTACTTAGCTACTAATGCCACTGGTCAAAGTTACTCAGGGTACTCAAAGATCGCCAAGTCTCATTATGCTCCAGCTTCTCCAGTTTTTGACAAGGAACACTACTGGTATATTATCTTGTCTGACATCGGGATTATCACAACCATAACGGTTGTTTACCAATGGTACAAGAACTTTGGTTTCTTCAACATGTTTGTCAACTGGTTCATGCCATGGTTATGGGTTAACCACTGGTTAGTCTTTGTTACTTTCTTACAACATACCGATCCAACCATGCCTCATTACCGTGATAATGAATGGAATTTCGCTCGTGGTGCTGCTGCTACTATCGACCGTAACTTTGGTTTCATCGGACAACACATTTTCCATGATATTATTGAAACTCACGTTTTACACCATTACGTTTCAAGAATTCCATTTTACAATGCTAGAGAAGCCACCGATGCCATCAGAAAGGTTATGGGCGAACATTATAGATATGAAGGTGAATCTATGTGGTATTCTTTATGGAAATGTATGAGAATGTGCCAATATGTTGATGATGCTGACACTGACGCTAAAGGTGTTTTAATGTACAGAAACGTTAACGGAGCAGGTCCAGTTAAGCCAATAGATTAAGTTTGGAATTATTTCGTTTTCTTCTACATGATTACCCTTTGATATCTTAACCTATTTATTATACTTAGAATTTTATATTCATTTCTGTCACTATTTGTATATACTCTTAAATCAATCATTTTGAAAATAAATGGCTCGCTTAAAATTTACTCGGAAAACTGAAAAATTTAAAAATCGAAAATTTTTGAGCTGATTTAAATCAGAATCACAGTAATATTGGCCTACGTATAACATGTCAAAATTTCTAAGGGGTATATCTAGTATTAGCAGCGCATCCTTGAAAGCTAGAGCATCCAACTTTGGAGTTTTTCATGGTGTTCGTTCTGCAAGGAACTTACACCAATCCAGATTATGTTTGAATGTAAGTAAAATACCAGAAACATACGAGGAAGAAAAAGAAATTATTGATGAAATCAACAGTAAATTACCCGAGAAGGATATTTCGAGTTCGTCAAGATTAAGAAATATCGGGGTCTCAGCTCACATCGATTCAGGTAAGACGACTTTCACCGAACGTGTTTTATTTTATACCGGGAGAATTAAGGCTATTCACGAAGTGAGAGGTCGTGATGCTGTAGGTGCTACCATGGATCATATGGATTTGGAGAGAGAAAAAGGTATTACTATTCAATCTGCTGCAACCTTTTGCTCGTGGGATAAAGATAATAAGGACTATCATTTCAATTTGATTGATACCCCAGGTCACATCGATTTCACTATTGAAGTCGAAAGAGCTTTGAGAGTTTTGGATGGGGCTGTTTTAGTTGTATGTGCTGTTGCTGGTGTCCAATCACAAACGGTCACGGTTGATCGTCAAATGCGTCGTTATAATATTCCTAGAGTTACTTTCATTAATAAGATGGATCGTATGGGTTCCGATCCATTCAGAGCTATCGAACAAATCAACTTGAAATTAAAAACCCCCGCTGCGGCAATTCAAGTTCCAATTGGAGCTGAATCTGAATTGAAGGGTGTTGTTAATATTATTGATCGTGTTGCCTTATACAACGAAGGTAGTCAAGGTGAAGAAATTAGGGCTGACCCAAACATTCCAGAAGATTTAAAAGATTTAGTTGAGGAAAAGAGAGCTCTTTTGATTGAAACTTTAGCTGATGTCGATGAAGAAATAGCAGATGTTTATTTGGAAGGTGAAGAACCATCCGTCGAACAAATCAAAGCTGCCATTAGAAGAGCTACTATTGCCAGAAGGTTTACCCCAGTATTAATGGGTTCAGCTTTGGCCAATAAGGGTGTTCAAAATGTTTTAGATGCTGTTGTTGATTACTTACCTCAACCAAACGAAATTTTAAACACTGGTTTGGATGTTAGTACTGAGGAAGAAAAGAGAGTGAATTTGATTCCTTCGAGTGCTGCTCCATTCGTAGGTTTAGCCTTCAAATTAGAAGAAGGTAAATACGGTCAATTAACTTATATTAGAGTTTACCAAGGTAAATTAAAGAAAGGTAGTTACATGAATCATCTTAAATCTGGTAAGAAGGTTAAGGTATCTCGTTTAGTGAGAATGCATTCGAACGATATGGAAGATGTTGACGAAGTTGGTGCCGGTGAGATCTGTGCCACCTTTGGAATTGATTGTGCTTCTGGTGATACATTTATTGGACAGAATTCTGAACATCAAATTGCGATGAGTTCTATGTTCGTTCCAGAAGCAGTTATTTCGTTATCTATTGCACCAAAAACCAAAGACAACGGTAGTTTCTCCAAGGCTATGAATAGATTTCAAAAGGAAGATCCTACATTCCGTGTTAAGTATGATGCTGAATCTAAGGAAACCATCATTTCAGGTATGGGTGAATTACATTTAGAAATTTACGTTGAAAGAATGAAGCGTGAATATGGTATCGATTGTATTACTGGTAAGCCACAAGTTGCTTATCGTGAAGCCATTACTGCTCCAACGACCTTTGATTACACCCATAAGAAACAAAGTGGTGGTTCTGGTCAATACGCTAGAGTTGTCGGTGAAATGAAACCATTGGACGGCGAAAATAAATTCTCTCAGCATATTGTTGGTGGTAAGATTCCAGAGAAATTCTTATTTGCATGTTCTAAGGGATTTGACGACTCTTTAGAAAAGGGACCATTAATTGGCCATCGTGTTTTAGGTGCTCACATGCATATTAATGATGGTCAGACTCACGTTGTTGATTCTTCAGAATTGTCATTTAGAACTGCCACTCATGGTGCCTTTAAGCAAGCATTCTTGAACGCACAACCAGTTATTTTAGAACCAATTATGTCTGTTGAAATTAGTGCTCCAAACGAATTCCAAGGAACTGTTGTTGGTTTGGTCAATAAGATCGGAGGTATGATTATGGAAACTGTCAACGGTCAAGACGAATTCACTGTTACAGCCGAGTGTTCGTTAAATTCGATGTTTGGTTTCTCGACCTCGTTAAGAGCTTGTACCCAGGGTAAGGGAGAATTTACCTTGGAATTCAACAAGTATGCCCAATGTGCTCCTCATTTGCAAAAGCAATTGATTGCAGAACACGAAAAGAAATTGCAAGCTAAGAAATAGGGTTCGAATTATTTATAGTATTACTTGTACATAGATACTTATATGTTAAATTATTTAGTTTTAAAATTATACATTTTGAAAACATTAATTACATTTGAACACACAGTAACTACATCTGTACCTGTAGAATAGATTCTTTTATACAAATTATGAAAACGTAAACATTAAAAAAAAACCTAACTATGATACCCTCAAACTAATAAAAACTAAGAATACATACATATAAGTAATATGAAAATTTATCAAAAATTAAAATTTCTTTTTAACATTTAAGCCTTAGCAACAGCCTTCTTGACAGCAAATCTTCTTTGCTTCTTTAAGACTAAGACTTGGAATCTTTCGAAATCAGATAATTGGGATCTCTTTTCTCTGGAAGCTAACTTCTTAGCCCATGAGGTAGCAGCCCACTTGGAGTCAACATCGGCAGCAGCCCATTTCTTGTTGACGACACCGGTTCTGGCACCTCTTGGTAAGTTTGGTAAAACAATTGGGGTTAAGACAACCTTTCCTAATTGGATGGCTTGTCTTTGAACCTTTGGACCATCAATCAAAACCTATAATATGTTAGTAAATCATTCAAAATCAAAGTATTGACTACACAGAACTAATACCACGATACCCAGAGCTTATTCCTGCCATCCTGGGCTCTCCATTTCTTCATTCGGTCCTCTTCGTTTGCCACGATGAATTTTTCACTATTAGTACCTCTCCACCATTCGGGTCCTACATCTTCCAAATTTCTTCTTCTTATGCCCGTAGACATGGTACCATTCCTTTCATTACATTTCGTGTATCTCATGTTCTTTCGTGCTTCGTCTTCCCTATTCTAAATACATACTCTCTTTTGGTCGATAATTTCAACAACGGTAGCTAATTCCTTGTTGTTAATCAAGACAACACGTCCTAATTCAACGAATCTCCAGTTAGCAGCTTTAACAGTGGTATGTGATGACATCTTATTATATTGAGGTTATTGGACTAACTTAACAAAGAATTTCAAACTTTTATGATAACGTAAAAATTGTCAATATCTACAATCGGTTAGTGTAACTCGGTATGGAAAATGAAAATTTTCTGACTACTGATGCACCAAAAAACAGTCACAAATTTTCTCGAATTATAGCAGTACCTGAATCACATGAGAAATGACCCAGCTGCCATACACCAAGAAGGGCTATACCCTAATATCACCGCGATGAGGTAGTTTATGATTTTTCAGGACATATTTACTAATTATTCTAGGCAGATGGAACTATAAAACCCATGGATTGGCTCGTTCTTGGACCAAAAAAGGAATTGTGGTGTTACAATTGACAAGTACCAAGAACGAACAAATGAAACTGGGACGATTGAAGAGTGGAATCGTACCATAGTACGAATTTGTGGAATTGTATGTATATACCTGCCATATGACAGAACAACATCGACTCAACCTAGATGATGACTAATAATTTGCGTTCGAGAGTAGTACAACCTGAAACATGCCTAGTTTCATATGGGTTTGCTACGACATGCGACCAACTTACTTCTGAAACTAGTTGATGCTGAGGTAAATGCACCGGTTATCGGAACAACCGTTACTAACAGAAATAGAGAATCAGACACCGAACAGACCACCCCACAGTCGTTGGACGGCCACTCTTAGACTAGTTAATACACATATTCCCATTCATATTATCCGTAGCCATTGTAGTGCCAGCGTAATAGTAGTAGTTAGGATCGGGCGTAAACACGTGACTGACCATATCCACAAGCGCAAAAAAGTGTTGATACTACCGCCTAACGGTGGGCCTGATGGTGTCGATACATAGGACAAGGAAGATTCGTTTATGCTCAAGCATTTGTGCCAGACAAACAAGAGACTGATAGCCATAATGTCCTCCGCCGCTAAGAAGCCTGTGGTTCAACAGCCCGAATGGATTAAACCAAGCCGCCAGACCGACGGTGCGCCGGTGTTACGCATATACAACTCATTGACTCGTAGTAAAGACGAGTTTATTCCACTCAGAAACAACCATATTACTTGGTACTGCTGTGGGCCTACTGTCTATGACCACTCGCACATGGGACATGCTAGAAACTACGTTTCCACTGATATTTGCAGACGGATCTTGCAGGACTATTTTGGTTACAACGTCAAGTTCATTCAGAACGTCACTGATATCGACGACAAGATTATCATTGCCGCACGTCAAGAGTATCTTTTTGAGCAGAAGGTGACCCTGAAATACACCGCTGTGACCCCCGAATTGTTGGATGTGACAAAGAAATACCTTGAGTACTATATTACCAAGACTTTACCTCAATTCGAGAAAACCGACGTCGAAAAGGACTTCATTCCATGGTTGGACTCCGTAAATATACAGGAGATTGCAGTTACAGCCCCGAAGTTCCCAATGTATACCAAGGCTGCAAGAAATGCCCACTCATCTATCTATTCTTCAGTTTCTGAGACTACTCCAATAGGCGACTATTTATCGTCCATTAAGGAGGTCGCAATGCCCTTTTTGGATAATGAATTCGGATCCACTGTCAATGATCCATCAATCTTCAGAAAGTTGCCTTCGTACTGGGAAAAGAAATTTAACGAAGACATGGGAAAGTTAAACGTGTTGTCTCCTTCCATTACTACAAGAGTCTCCGAATATATCCCTGATGTGATAGAGTTTGTTGAAAAAATTATCACGAATGGATTTGCTTATGCTACTAAAGATGGTTCCGTTTACTTTGATACTGCCAAATTTGAAAATGATCCAAATCACGATTACGCCAAATTGCAACCATGGAACAAGGGCGATATGTCTTTAATTAATGATGGTGAAGGCTCTCTTAGTACAGGTCAAGATACAAAGAAGAATGCTGCAGATTTTGCTTTGTGGAAAGGCTCGAAGCCGGGTGAACCATCGTGGCCATCGAAATGGGGAGAAGGTAGACCTGGTTGGCATATTGAATGTTCGGTAATGGCATCGGACATCACTGGACAAACTATGGATATACATTCTGGTGGTGTTGATTTGTGCTTTCCACATCACGATAATGAATTAGCTCAATCAGAAGCGTACTTTGATAATAAGCAATGGGTTAACTACTTTATGCATAATGGCCATTTGCATATACAAGGCCAAAAGATGTCAAAATCATTGAAGAATTTTATCACTATTGAGGAGGCATTAAATGATTTCACAAGCAGGCAATTGAGGTTAGTCTTTGCTTTAAGTTCCTGGGAAAAGCCAATCGACTTTAAGGATAGTTTAATTAAAGAAGTTAAATCTTGGGAATCATCTGTTTCCAAATTTTTCACTACTGTTCGTGCTTTGAATAATGATTATAAACATACTTTAGCCGAAGGTGGTTACGTATCAAAGAAATTATCTCAGGCCGAAAGACAATTATATGATGAGTTGACTAAAGCTCAAAATGAAACGCATGCTGCATTTTGTGATAACTTATCATCGCCTCTTGTATTGAGAAGTATACAAGAATTAGTTTCTAAATCTAATAATTATATCCAATCTTGTGCTACTGGAGAAAATGAATTAAGAATAGAAGTTTTATTAGAAATTTCCAGTTGGATTGTTAAAATCTTAAATATCTTGGGTTTCGAGACTAGATCTGATAAATTGGGATGGTTGGATTCCAATGGGTCAGAGTCTGAAGGTAGTTCTTCTAAGGAAGATGTTGCTATGCCATACGTCAAAGCCTTATCTCAATTCCGTGATGCGATCCGTAATATGGCTATTAATAAGTTCTCTTTTGGTGAGTTCTTAACTGCATCTGATTCCGTTAGATCAGATCTAATTAATTTAGGTATCTCTTTAGATGACCGTCCGAATGGATCGGCCTTAATTAAGTTTTTAAATGCTCAAGAACAGGATGAGTTGAAGAAACAACAGGCCGATAAGGAAAATGCTTTGTTAGAAAAAGAAAAGAAAAAACAGCAGCAAGCGGTAGAAAATGCGAAGAAGGAACAAGAGCGCTTAGAAAAGATGAAAGTCAATCCTTCTGATTTATTCAAAGATCCTAAATCTTATTCTGAATGGGATGAACAGGGTATACCTACCAAGGATGCAAGTGGTGAAGAAGTTTCTAAAAGTATGAGGAAAAAATTAACTAAGCAATACCAACAACAAGAAAAGCTTTACCAGGAATTCTTGAAATTACAAAGTCAATGATTATATAGTGTATTGTAAATATTAAATAAATTGATAGTAGAACGATATTTTTTGGTGTGAGGTTTTAATTAATATTGAGCGTAAATTATTGACACGATTCAAGAAAAGTGAGTTCTACAACAAATTATCAACTGAACCATAAGATGTTCAACATTGTCACAAGGTTCCAGTACGCGGCTAACCAAGCATTGACATCATCTATTATAATAGCAGGAATAGTTATCTTATCTTCGCTATTACAATTATATTCTAATAATGCATGGTCTTTGGGGACAACTTCAATAAGCAATGTCAAGCCTCAAGTACTGCTTAAACACTCGTTCAACTATGGATCAGTCAATCGTAAGCCTAAGGAAAATTCGAGAATACAATTTGATTTAGAGACAGACTTATCTCCTTTATTCAATTGGAATACAAAACAATTATTTGTTTACTTGACTGCCGAGTATCCAGGTAAGAGTGATGGATCTTCGAACAAAATAACATACTGGGATAAGATAATTACTTCCAAGGAGGATGCGGTGTTACTGTTAAAGAACCAGAAGTCAAAATATTCAGTATGGGATATTGAACCATCGTTCAGACAAAGGGATGCGGTTGTTAAACTCGAATGGAATCTCCAACCACATATTGGACCATTAATTTTCGGGGAAACAGATGAGATTGCAGACTTCAAGTTTGCAGAGTATGTAGACAAAAAGAAAGAGCAAAAATAGATACTAATTATAAATCTATTATATTGAAGTTATTAAATATATACATATATACAAGAATATTATATTTAATACAAGATGCTAATTTTAATATGAGCTGTGCGTAGATTTCAACTGGTTTAGAACTTCTAATGTTCTCAAGCGTCTGGATTCAAAATCCTCCCTTTGATCACTGGTTGGTGGCAGCTGAATTTGATCAATTTCTTTTCTGAATATATGTAATCGTAACCTTGCCGAACTATTATATATTAAGAACTCGATAGTTTCCGGAAATTCATCCATGAGCTGAAACGCTTTATATTTATCTCCATCACAAAATCGATTTATAGCATGCCATATTCTGCTGGCAAAGTAGGGCGATATTTTATTTTGTGTTGATAGTCTAATTTCAGGAGAAAAGAATTCAGGAATATTCAGTAATAGCCTTTCTAAAGTCCAGTAAGAGCCCTTGGAATGTGCTTTCGAATGTGTCTCATTGAATGCAACTAATTCCTGTTTCAATAAGTCCAACGGGTCATGAACATACAGATATGTAGATTGCAATTCAGGCACGTCAAGAATATTATAATAACGATTTAACATATCGTAATTATTTTGTACCACTTTGACACCAACAGTTCTGCTGATATGTAATACCGTCAATTTGTACAAGAATTGTAGTTTTCTAAACAACTTAGCTTCTGCCCAATTACCTGCAACCAAATACTCTTCACATATTTGCAAGATAGTACGCAAAACATCTGGATTGGGCAATTTAAGAAGCTCATTTATTATTGTAAGGTATTGATCACCAGATAGTTGAATGTTTACTTTCTCCGAAGTCTGAAGTAATTTATAATAAGATTCGGGATTTTCAAAGCTTGTTTTCATACATTTTAGTTTCAAAGCTAGTAAACTTCTGTATTCATATTGTAATCTCTTCGGTACTCTAATTTCATCTTTTAGAATATCATTATAAGGATAATCATGAATGAATTTTGATACGATATTATGCGATTCTTCGAGACCATTGTCTATTAATCGCTTTGCTAAGGCAAAATTTCCCTGTTTAAGATACAAACGTCCCAATTCCTTATAAATTGAAAACTTGAATTCATTCGTTAACTTTCCATTTAATCGTTCTTTCATTTGATTTAAAAAGTGAACCAATAGATGAACATTATTTTGATATCCAACTGTCGCCATAACATATGAAGTAATAATATGACATAAATCGATTGAATTATCAAGTATATCAGCTTGAGGTTTTTTTGGTGCTTGATCAGTTGGGCTAATAGTTAATCCATTCAATTCAAAAACAGATTGTAACAACTTGAATGAGTTTTCATATCCTTTATGATTCAGTGAATCTAAATGAATTAATGCCTTGATTAAGTGAACATAAGTTTTGGTCGATATATTGACTCTTTCCTTTGCCATTTGTCTGTATAATTCCAATACTTGAGAATAGCCCGCAAATGTACGTTGCTTGGCATAATAATCCAAAAATGGTGTGAAGTGATGTTCTGATAACATTTTTTGACTCTTCACTGATCTAAAGAGGGTTTCTGCATTGGGTAAATCATTTCGTGCCAAATGAAGTTTAATTACTTCTGTATATAAACCATGATTATTCCGTACGCTTAAATTTTTCTTGATAACATGCTCGAGAACATACTTAATTCTTTCCGATATGAATACTTGAGTGTCATGAGATGGAGTGTTTCTATACCAGAATCTATAATTTCTCAACTGCACCTTGTAAATATCAGGATTGGTAAAAGGAACATCTGATTCCAGGTGAGCTTCGAATACCATATCATCCGCTTTTTCATATTGATCTAATCTTGTATATGCTCTAATTAAATTTTCATAGTATTCATTAGATGTTAAGTTCGATTCTTGTCCAAGCTTTCTAAGAATTTCCAATTCTTTAATGCCGTACATGGTCCCGGCAAAATTAATAAACTGACTTAAAGTCTTAGGGTCCACTAAAGTTATGTTCAACCTTTCTTGCTCTGACCTCGCGAATTCTAGAAAGTTCATTGCTGAATCTAAGTTACTAGATTTCAAATATAATTTGAACATTAACGAATATAAATACGGTCCCGCATTTGGATCGATTGCATCATCTTTAATACGATTCAAATATTCATTAAACCAACGATTAGAATTTTCAATATTTCCATAGAAAACTTCACTATTAATTAACGCAGCATATATTGATGGCGTTGGATTTAAGTTTCTTTTCAACAATTGGTTAAAAAGTTGCATGACTTCGTCCTTCGCTCCTATTGCCGCTAAAGCATTCATAACAATGGAATAGTGAACAACATAAGGTAATTGTCCTTTTCCATACATATCTTCAAACTGCTTTTGTAACAATTTCCAATCTTTGAATTCTTCACTAACCCTCAATAGTACTTCGATTTGCTCTTCATTACGCAAGCCCGGAAATTTTTGATATAGATCCAAAACCGATTGATACATATTTAACAGGCAAAAGGCTGACATTGCAGATTTCAAATCGTTATGATGAAATACATCAGATTCTTTAAGACCTTGTTCTTCGACAAGATTGAGTTTAAATTGCCAATAATTCAATACATTATCTGGACTGAACCGAAGTATAGTTCTCATGGATGTTGTCATGAAATTATAGTATGATCGTGGGTATTCACATGCAGACGAGTCTATTATGTTTTTTATGCTATAGAGATGGTCGGAAAATCGAACATCTTTTGGTGGAATGGCCATTAATCGGAATGCTTTATCATAGATGAAATGATCATGATCTTTAAATAACATATGATCATCACCTATTTCATGTAAGAGGTTGATGAATTCCTTTATCATATAATATGTTTGATCTTTACTCGATGAATATAATAATCCTTTTTTTAGAAATGTCGCTAAGAACCGTCTTTTAATATCAATAGGGTTCTGGGCATTTTTTAGGAACAGAATAACACTACCTTTATTAAAAATAATATGTCCTTTATCATCAATATCAAATTGAAACGTATTGGCCAATCTATCCGACCATGTGGGCTTGTGGTTTTTAAATTCACGAATGGAGTATAACGGTTCAACTATGTCTTTATAAAATGAATAGTTTTTCGTGTTGATCAAAATAGTTATAAATGGTTGTCGTTTGTTCAAAAACTTATGCTGTAATTCCTTCACATTTTTATTAGAAGTATCTGTTTGGAAAACAAATTTCCACATATTCAATAAGAGATCAATTGACTCCGAGGTTGGAAACCCACTTACAATATCGATGGCCTTCAAGAAATTGGCATATATCATATCGACATCATTCTTAGTTAAAGCAGTTCCATTTCGAATTATTTCCATGTATTTATTTCTAATCTCTGCATCAGAAATGAGTTTTTCAACTTCTGAATATCTCTTGTTTAAGAGCATGACATTTTTTGCTGATTCTACTGGTCTTCCTAACGTAGATACCGATCGCCTTAATGAAAATTTCAACATATGTTTACGAAGACCATTCTTCAACAGCGTCGGCACCTGAACAAATGGAAATATTTGTGACTGAAGTGTTTTTATATATACATTCTTATAACCTGGATTAGAAATACACCACGCTAAAAGTGTATCCACTTCAGACGGCCTTTGATTTAGCAGCTGCCGGTACATCAGTCGTAGCATAATTGTCTGCTCGGTCTATATGATTCAAAGGCTAAATGTACAGGTGTAAAAGGAAGGAAATCGGTTGTGATAATTCGTTAAAACCTAGAATTCATACCGTATACTGATTTTTCACCATTATCATCAGTCAACGGTTATATACACGACGGAAATAGTTTAGATGGGCTACGAAATATATCATGATATGTCATGTATTCAGAAGAATTGGGAGCTAATTACATATATAGAACTAATAGATAAATCAGCATTATTCATCAGAGTCATTAAATCAGTATTTTATGTTTGTAGTCAATGAAGTCGAAAAACTCCTCGTACAGTGTGAATATAAAAGGAATCATCATAAAATAAGCCGATTTTCGATTTAGAACTTAGAGGTTCCACTCATAACTATTTAAAATCAATAAAAGTCTATTTGGCGTTAGTGAATTTATTCTCCTGATATCCATTTTAAACTGGATATTCATTAAAATCAGCTCACGACCTTTCATCACCTCCTACTCATCAGCACTTCAAAATTTGTACACTGAAATGCGACTCCTCTTCTAATTGTACAAAAGAGGGATGTGTAGGGTTAAATATGTCCGCCCGGTCACAGTTATCCTCATGAAAAACGAATTTCCAGTTTTGACTAATTAAACATACCTAAATTTAATGTTAGCAACGGTCTTATAATAAAACGTCGATTGATTCATAGATTTTAAAAACAAAAAGGCTCATACAAGGCTGAAACTTAACGATAATGCTGTTGTCAACCCGGATAATTCAGTTGGAACAATTGGTAAATAGCAAATAATCACTGCCAAATTTTGTAAATTTTCGAATCTTTGTGTGCTTGATAAAATTATCAACATACCTTTCAGTGATTCCATATATTTATGAACGAAACATCCACTATGCTCTCCACTATTCTATTACTGTTAAATCAAAAGAAGAATGAAAGGAAAAGGAAAATTTTCTCTCTTAAGTAAAGAGGTTTAATGAGAATTTATTGTGCGTATATACACGACCATGTTAATGTTAGGGCTAACTATACAACTACTAAGGATTTAAACGGATATACCAAAAAAGCTAATTTTAACTAAGATGGTGAACAGTAAGTGGGCAATTGCTAGAAGAACCATAATAATCATATAGAGTCTATTTGCTTGATTCACGGCCGACTCTTGGGTTAAGTCTAAGGAATTTTTCTTAATAATAGGACTTAATTTGGTTAAATTACTCAATCCAGTGACAAATCCACTAGCCAATACTATCGCCCACTCGAGAAAGTTCCAAATCAAACGATGATTCTTATTATTGACAAAAACAACGATCAAAAAATTAATTGCGGTGATTGGGAACCATAAAATATTGGTGTAACCATAAACAGAGATCAACTTGGTCAACGAGAGCCTATGAGGAAACTTCAAAACCCACGTAGTTAAGACGTATAATACGAGAGGAACCAAGACATTGTAGCCGTAGAATAGCGAAATTGACAACGTGAGAAGCTCAAAGCTATACTCATATTTCTTGTCATCGGAGTGGATCCACTCCGACAAAATATTGGCTCCAGTAGAGCTCACAAACATTAAAAATATAAGGGTACCTGTAATCCAAATGAAACCATAGAGCTCAGTCACCTCATTGTCGTCATTGTCGTCACTAACGGACGTCGATTTGTTGATCGGGTTCAACGCCCGCTTGATTTTCTCGAAAAATGTCATTGTATCTAATTCAAAAAACTTTCTGTAGAAATTGATTTGGAACATATGTGAATTGGTACTATCAATAGGTATTTGCGGTTGAACAACCTCTGGCTGTGGTTGTGTTGGAGCACTTTTGGCCGTCCTTGCAGTATTCTCGTCATTATCTGGTAGAACGTATTGTTCATCCGTGAAATCTAGATAAACGGTTAGTCTTCTCGATGTCTATGAGGAAAGTGCATCAGTTATGCTTCTATCGAATTTATAATACGTACCGTCTTGATCAATAAGATCTGGGATATTTTGTTGTGCCTATAATATTTTAGTTAACATGGTCCTCAATAAATTTATTACTGTGAAAAACATACGTTACTATCCGCCGAAGATAGCTTGTTATATCCTTGAGACATTTTGATTGAATCCTGCTCTTGTAATGATCAATTGTAAGATAAATAAGTACTTAACTCCTATAGAATACTACCAGAAAAATGAAGTTACAGGTTATTTCTTATCACAGTTGTTTACAGGTTATATTTAAATTAGTATGGCCTAAACAACATTACACTATATCCTGTTCTTTAGTTACCATTAGCTACTAGCTGCAAGAATAGCGTCAATTCATACAATTATGGAAATAGATGATCCAGAGTATCCTAATATTGACATAGATTCTATTATTGGTCCGAAAAACAACGATGCACCCAACACATATATCAAACAAACTCTTTTGCATTCTCCAATATTTACCAATATTATTCCAGATTTCCACGTACATATCGGTAAGCGCTTTCGAGGACTTCCCAGCGTAACAGTGAACGATGAAGGAGAACAATACATGTGTCCACAAGAAGAGGACTCGCAATTTGATGTATTTAGTGACGATGACGATTTGCTATTCAACATTGGTGAAACACCGCCAACAGGCACAGTGAAAAGCGGTAGTTTAGGGCCAAATGCCAATATAAAGTTGAAATCAATACGGATTATCATGAAAACGACATCGATGCTTGTTAATGATGTAGAGTTTTCTTTCAGTGCACCCATAAGGTCGTCATGCATTCTTAGAGGAGTTAAGGACGGTAAGAGCCAGGAAGAAGATTCTTTGATGGTGTCGTTAAGGTCGGGCTTTTTATTCTTGATAAGGATTTATTATGTCCCTAGACAATACAAAGATACTGATTATGATATACAAGGTCAAATTCAATCAGACGAATCATGCATTTTCAAGCCATTCATTGTTCAATGGTGGGACACATCAAGCAACTTGTCGGTGCCTGCGCTCGAATCTTCAGGCTATTCATTATTTTCTCATGCCAGTGGGTTATCGGCTGTATCGACTTCTGCTAGTAGTGTCTTCCGCATCTATAATTGCCAACATACGGATTCAGGGATAATGTTTATGCCACATTTTAATGTTCCAGTCGATGGGCTCCTATTGCACTCTTGTTTTGCGGAGCCTTTAAATAATAGCATCATTGATAATCATATTATGTTTCTAATTATGTCTTTTACCGAATCCCGAAGACTAGAGTTAAATTTATATGGGTGGACTTTAGGAGAGACAATCAACAATAATTTAACTAAAACTGCTTTACCGTTGGACAACTCTTTTGAGATTCCTATATTTATTATATCCTTAAAGAATAATGATAGTTTCTTATTTGTAAATGAAAAAGAGCTAGTTGTTATAACTGTTCATGATATTATGTCTGCTAACTATGGATTTACTCGAGTACCGTTTACTGGAACTTTTCCTACAAATTATTATCGACCAGTTACACGAATATGTTCTCAGATGGACCCGAAAACAGACGAAATTATACTTTCTACTGATAACGGAGTTATATACTCTATAGTCACAACTGAAAACAATATCCAAATAAGGCCAATAATTCGAGTATCAGATCCTATATCAGTTTTTTCTTTGGAAAAAGCTGATAATGAGTTTAACTTGATATTTGGTAGTGATACTGGCTCGAGTAGAGAATTATGCGTTACGGACTTATTTTCTGAGGAATACATACAAGAGTTAAGTACGCAAAAGCCCAATTATAGCAATGTACAGTTAATAACTGACTTTAAAAACTGGACTCCAATATTGGATGTTCTGATCATTGACTCGTATAAGACTAGAACTATAAATAATAGGTCAGATCAAGAATTGTGGGCATTAACTGGAATAGGTAGAAGGACTAGATTAACACAGCTAAGAAATGGATATAATGCAACAAGACGAAGTAAAACCTATGAACAGTTACGTAAGACTGATCAATTATATTTCATTACGTTAGGAAATAGATTTTACTTGTTTTGTTCTTTACCATTTGAAACAAAAGTATTAGAATACCAAACCCAAGAAGATGAATACCTTGTCGAAATAGAGGATGCTGTAATAGATACGTCTAATTTTTCTTTATTCATCGGGACTATATCTCAAAACCAAGATATTTTAATTCAAATTACCCAATGCTCCATTACACTCACAAACTTGTTTGATTTGAGCTTAATCTCACGGCTCGAAAATGAAAGAGTTCTCTTCTGTGATATGCATAATGGTCTCTTGGCTATGATAGTGGCGAGTACGAGTGAAAAATGCATGTCTTTGAGGTTATTCAAGGTGACTGATGAGGTCAATTTCAATTTAAGTTTGGAAGATAGTGGAGCACTTGATTTAGTTGGGTCATTGGAAATTAATTATGAACCTTCAATGGTTAGGTTGATTGACTTAAATATGTCAACCTATATTATTGCAGGAAGTTACGACGGATCTCTTTTTATTTATCAGCTTGGTCTGGAACTCCAAATTTTAGAATATAAAGAGTACGTGTTGGATGACTTTAATCCTTACAAAAATAATAGTCTTCGACCAAACTTTATAATTCCTCATGATTCCGTTCAAAGTTTAAATCCAAGGACAAATTTGTGTGTTGGTTCCAAGGATGGTTATTATATCCACTTTCATATTGATACAAGCCTTTCCCTAAGATGTATTAATTTTCTCAAGATTGGTGACACGCCTGTTAGATTCCAGGCTGTTCATAATGAGAGTAAAATGGTTTTTATTCTTTCGAGATGTCTCTGGTTATTGAACTTATATGACTCGGAATTTCCCACTCAAGTTTATTTCGATGAGAGGCATGATAGAGCAATTTCTACAATGATACAATTACCAAATTTTGGACTAGGAAATAATGCGGTTAGTGAAGAGGCGAAATATTTTGGATTTGTTAGAGAAGAAGGGTTTACAATTGGTTCTGTTCATCCATTTAAGAAGCCAAATATTAAGCAAATTAACATAGCGGAATCTGCCAAAAAACTCACATATTTACCTCATCTTTCAACGTTTGTAGTATTGTGCAATTCTAAAGATCCGAGAGTACGATTGAAGTTTGTCGATAGAAAAGTTTTGAAAACCCTACAACATCATGAATTGAATTCGAGGTTAAAGGATTTAGATCTGAATGAATTTATATTTGGTGCAGATGAAATACCAACGACGGCTTGTATCTGGTCTATCAAAAGACAAGATAGAATATCCAAAAAGTTGTTAATAGGAAGCGAGGTTAATGGCTCTGCTGGATCATTTAAAGTTTTAGATATAACAAAAGCTCAAGATTCGAGGGAAAGTCCAATATATATTCGTGTTGCAGAACTCACCTCCTTTGAACATAAGGAACCCATTACCCATATTCAACAAATAGAATCTTCAATATTGTTCTCTAGTGGTAGAACTATTTATTCGACTACATACGATATTGACGAGAGACGGTTGAAGCCAGTCTCTGCACTCGTTACCCTTACTAGTGACATAATTTCATTGTCTGTTGAAAATAGTAATAAACTTCTAGTGACGACGAAATTAGATTCGATTTTTCAGTTTCTTTATAGCAAGAATGTTGATCGCGATTCAGATATATTGAAGCTTATATATAAGGATCCATCCCCAAAAAGCATTGTTAACCAGTCCGAATTGAATGATAACATTATTGCAGGAGACAAATTACATTCATCAATATTAATTATGAATACAAACGATAGCAATTTAAAGAATCTATTTTCTTATAGAATGTCTAGTATTCCTAGAGTTTATTCATCAAAGTTTAATTCTTATTGGGTTAATCAGGACCTATCTGAAGGATCAAAAGTGAAAAGTCATAATTCGAATATTCTATGCGTAGGAATTAATGGTGAAATTACGTCAATTCGTTTACCTTCAAGTACATGCGACGAATTAAGTGACCTTTCAAAGTCATTAAATACCGGAAAACTGATTGATGGACTGATTGATTCGTTTATTGAAGTTTTGAATAGACCGTTTATCGATAAGGTTACAGGAAAGGGTCTAAGCTCTATTAACAAACCATATTTTAACTATAAAGACAATAAGGGTAAGCTAATAGATTACGATTTAGACGAGATTTCAAAATTATGCAATATCAATGTATCTATTTAGCGTATTGCAATAATAAATATATATATATTCAAATGATTTGCTGTTAATTAAATGCCTATATATAGTTGAATTAACGTAATATTTGTACAGTTTGACAATTATTCTCCAGTCTCATCATTCTCCGCAATAGAAGTTGGTTCCGAATCATTTGCAATTCCGATATTTGATAGTTTTCTTCTAAGGCGCTCCTGTCTGAATTTCAGCGCTGCCGACATGCGATCAGTAGAGTTGTTTTCGTTTACACCTCTTAATTCTTTCAACAAGTCTCTTGCCCTTGAACCAACATCTTTTTCCCCCTCTATTGTTTCCTCATCGTTCACGCCTGCATCAGTTTCTACTGAGTCCACATTTATTTGAGACGAAAATGCATCACCAATAGGCGAAAGTACTGCATTCTCATCCTGATAATCGGGAGAAGGCGGTGGGGATAGCTGTATACTTGTTTTCACGGGACTTTTTTTCAGACTTTCCAATAAGTGCTTTCTCATTAATGCCCTCTTCCGTGCTGACGACGGCTCACCCTTAGGACCTGCAGCCTTCAATTTTTCCAACAACGAATCCATAACATTAGAATCACTATCATCATTTGCTTCGTTATTTTCCACGCGTTTCCTAGGAGTTTCATATAGTTTCTTTCTGTTTTCGTAAATCCTAAGCTCTTCTTCACGTTTAATATTCTCGGTTTGTGCTCGCTTGAAATCCTTAACAAAATTAGCAAACTTACTAATAAAAGAATTTCTAACGAATGAATCAGACGGATCTTCACCAAAATATCTCATCAATTGGTCAAACTCTTTCAAAGTATATCCTGATTGATCTAGTAACAATTCTCCTTTTCTCTTCGCTTTAGGTAAAACGGGAAGAACCAGCTTTAAGATTTTATCATGAGGATGAAATTTGGAAACATCACTCAAGTTACCAATATCTATTGAACTCTGTACATTCTTGATACTTTGT